ATGGCAGAACCTTCCTCATAATCCCCCTCGTTGGCGTCCATAACATCCACCTCCATTTCCTGACAATCCTCCGGTCCTTCACCCACTCCTTCTCCACCAACGTTGCCCTCCATCATGGTGTCACGTGTCGATCCAGACCGACCTACGCCGACCCGCTCCGCCGATCGTCACCGATCTACACCGATCTCCTCCGATCCAATCTCCGACCCTTCGCCGACCTCTTCACCGACGCCGATCCCGACTTTCCCGTTTCGGTCGAGGGCGGGATACGCCTATCACATGCACCGGGCCACCGGCGGCTCAACGCCCCGGTGGTTCCAGATCTTGAACGGATTCAACTCCGATTTTCCTGTTTCCTGTTCCCTTTGTCTGACATCATAGCTTCCCTTTGTAGACTTTAGTTTCCCGTCGCTTGCGACGGATCTTTCGGTCCGATCTTTCCGCCTCTTCCGTAGATATGTTCCCTTTGTGTTCCATACGATATCTCTTGTCTCCGAATGTTCCCTTTGTGCGCCGAACGGCGCCTCCGATCTCCGACATCTCCGACTTTACCATTGTTCTCTTTTGTACATATAAACCGTCGAACTGTACCGTAGATAGTCAGTTCGAATATCGACTAAGCTTCACTCCATTCCTCCTGCGGACTCAGAGCGCGTAGCAGCCTAGCGCACGAGCTTAGGCTTGGTCCGCATCCGATCTCGACTCCACCAACGTTTCCGACTTATCGACTTCACGCCGACGCGTCTCCGACGCGTCTCCGACTCCGCTCCGACTTCATTCTTGAGTTCCTCTCTTCTATTTTCATTCTATTCTACGTATATACGTTTCGGACTTCGGTCCTCCGACTCCGTTATCCCTTGTCTGTGTCCGATCTTGACACATGGCCGGGGCGTTCGCTGCCGCGATGGCCTCCTGTTGCTCCCTCCAGGCTGGAGCAGACGCCGTCCCAAGGCGTTCACATCCAGCATGCCGCCCTCCACCAGGTCCTCCACCCCCTTCTCCGCGTCCTCTAGCAGCAAGACCCGATGTCCCGTGTGAGGTATATGGTTTCATCCCGAGGCGTAGGCGTTCAGCCAAAGAGGGGATTTTGATCTTCGGGACACCGGAGGATATGCCCGAGCCCCCTACAATAGGGCTACCTAAGATATCATTAGCATATATAGTATGTTGTTCGTCAAATAACGAACTGTGTGCTCCCTGAACAGAAGGAGCCGATACAAAGCCCTTTTGCTATAGGAGGATGAGCAGGGTGCTTCTCTCACTAGTCAGCTTGAAGGTACTCACCGACAGCAAGAGTTGCTCTGCAATGTAATCCAGTAGGGTTTTACATTGAGTGGGGGATTGCACGAGTTCGTCAAGATCTGACATAGTGCGCGAAGAGACCAGACTGGCAAGCAGATCCCGAGATGTAGGTACGTGGGTTTTGATTTCCCGCAGTTCGGATTCATTCTCCAAAGTATATTTCATTCTTGACATAGCAAAGGTAAGAGGAAACAGTGCTGAAGAGCTATGAGCTGGCAGGAGAGGTAGGGCTTATTGCGCGGATCCGCGCAATAATCCCTACCTGTGCGCCACATATACTGTACTTGACACTGTCCACCACGACGTCCACCTACACATCGCGCACTTCATTGAGCTATTCAGAACCTCAGTTAAACATATAAGTACCTGCCCGTCATGTACTTACAAAGTCCGGGTGAGCCTGATCCGCCGAACCTTTCTCGTTGCAGGCAGACTCCTTCATCGTCATGTCCATTTATGGACCCTCGTCACGCCCAGGACTTTGTCGATCACCAACTAGATATGATATGACGTTCAGGTAAGACAAGGGGTTTACAAGGATTCTAAAAAATAGATCGTTGATGAGGTATACAGGGAAGCTGAAGATGAATGTCGTACCATACAACGTGTTTCGGCGGTGTCTCGGCGTGTGCAGTCGGCCATGCAAGGCGGGTGTTTGGGAGGAGGACAGACCAGCGCAAAGACCGTTAACGGTGCGCGGTCATTATCTAGTGCGTATGCTTCTACACGTGTAAACCGCACGGCTCATTCAACAGATGGATCTCACGCGAAGTTATCGGCGCATCAGCACGGAACGCGCACCTCGTCGCCTTTCACCCGCTCAACCTGCCATCTCAAGTTGTCCTCCAAGGGTTGCCGGTGCGCAAGATTGATCTATTCAAGACATCAGTGGAGCGGACCGAACGGTGGTGTCTCGGCACGTGTAGTCGGCCATGCAGAGCGGGCGTTTGGGAGGGGGGCCGACTCATACGATGGCCGTTAGCGGTGCCCATCGATGTGGTCTTTATTCGGTGAGTGTGCTTATACAGGTGTAAACCGCACGGCTCACCTTCTCTATGATTAAACAGATGCATCTCACGCGTTGCCACACAAGACTGCCTGGCCACCGCTATGTTCCGCGTCCCGACCCTTGATCATTCATCGTCCACTCCAGGCTTGGAGTCACCATGGCCCGCCCTCGACGACGTACTAGTGAACGCATGTACGCCACATCACCAATACGACGCTCGATAACCTTGTACGACCATGGAGTTCGACAAGTTCTTGAATCCGCGCGGTCCGGTCATCGATTCTCAACGGGAGCAGACCCTCCCCGATTTCCAGTCGGCACCCCTGTTCCCTGACGCGTTTGGGACCACCCCGGGGGCGTCCCGCTCGACCCTCTCGTATTCGCTGGCGGCCCGCTACGCCTCGCTCCCGCTTCGAATTTCATCAGCATGCCGGCAAATCCACGACGTCCTCATCGGCCCCAAAGCACGCCAGAGGTAAATCACTCGCTTTTTTCCTTGGCCACCCATCTCCTCGCGTTTCTCAAAAGGTTAACTGGGTCAGGAACAGCCTCATCGACGAAATCGCGATGAAAGACGCCTGGGACGCGCTCGAAGAATGCTGGAGGGGTCTCGAGAATGTAAAGGAATGCGGCACCGCCGGCGTGGTGCGTGTTGTCCTGCAGGCCCCGTGGCGACGGCGTCTTCTGAATTCAGTCGCAGGTACAGGAGGAAGACATCGAACGTTTCATTCATGGCTGGCAGGTGGGTATTTCACTCATTTCCCGTAACCCAACTTTCCCGTTGCTTACCTCTCCCTCTCATCCGGCTAGATATTCATCTTCGAGTGCCGTATGTCCCCGTGTTCCAAACGAAGTGGCCCCCACACACACAGCAGCGAGATGCGGCGAGCATGACATGTACACAAGATTGCAAATCCAAGAGCCATATGTCTGCGCGCGCGACCATCAGCATCAGCCCCACAACGTCCGTCGGTTCCACCAGAAGGGAAACCACACTCACGCGGAACAGCCACGGGATCGGCGCGCACGCGAGCGCGAGGAAGGCGAAGACAGAGCCCGCCCAGCGCGGGCCGAGCCGGTCGTACATGACGGGCGTGACGAGCGGGAAGGCCATGTCGAACACGGAGCGGAGGACGACGGTGAACGCGATCGCGCTCGCGCTGTAGATCAAGTAGGCGTCAAGCAGGTACTGCACGAGCGACTGCATGATCTGCGCCGTGCCCGCGCCGAAGGGGATGCCGGCGAGGACGGGCAGGATCCAGGGGACGGGAGGGAGGCTGGTCCTGTGCGGGGGGCGTTGGCGCGATCAGGCCCGAAAACGGTTCCCCTGAAGTGGGCGCGCGGGGACGTACCACGCGAACCAGAAAAGCCCGGCGGGGAGCAGGATTGCGCCTGAGAGCGCGACGTACAGCCGGCTGTGGAGGCAGGCGAGATCAGCGAGAATGGGGTAGTCAGTCACTCACGCTTCGGGGGGCGCCCTTCCGTTTGGGCCAGACGTCGTGCACGATCTGTCCTGCCGAGGGAAGTTTTGCACAAGGCCACTCCGACCCCAGCGTGACCGCTGTTGACCAGTGCACTGCGCAAGCCGGCGCTGTCGCCACTTGCGACCAGGATACCTCCACCGGCACTTGTCGTAAGCGATTTCACTCCCGTTTCTTCACCAATCTTCACTCACGAAATTTTTTCAGCCACCACGACAGCTGACCCTGCCACGCCCACCGACGGAACGCGCAAGCGTGTCCCGCTTCGCCCTCGCACCGGCTCATGCGCGCGCGGCCAGAGCTCTTGCCCGGTTTACAAGAATGGCGCCGTGGCAAGATACGAGTGCATCAACACGTCAATGAACCTCGAGCAGTGCGGCGTCACCAGTGGAGGCGGCCTCGACGGCGTACGCTCGTTAGACGGTGGACGGGACTGCAGCGCGATCCCGCAGGTGGACGATGTTAGCTGCTACAAGGGCGAATGCCATATCAGTGAGTCGCCTCGGGGGTTCACGAGGTTACACTCGAAGCTGATCTTGCGGACGTACAGAAACTTGCCACAATGGCTATGAGGTGTCGGCGAACGGCGAGCGCTGCCAAGCTGCAAAGGCCGTTGCGTCGCGCTGCCCAGAAAAGTCAGGACATGAGCGAGCGTCGCACAGAGGTTGCCCGCGAGTGCACGCTGGACACGTACGCGGTGCCCTCACGGAAGGTGATGGGCGTCGAGCAACCCGAGTCCCCGCCGATGCTGCAAACGGAAGGCGCCGACGGAGGAGGGGAACGCATGGCATGCGCAGAGGGATTGTAGGATCCCATGGGTCCGGATGGAAGGATGGGCGCCTGTTGAGGAGTTTGACCCGCTCTGGGCGCGAAGTCGTGTCGGTCCGGCCATCGATTCTCAACGGGAGCAGCACCGCGATGCGCCGAGCGCCACATGTATACGAGATTGCAAGTCGGGTGAGTATCTCATCTTTGCATGAACTTTTTGTACTCACCTTGACTCAGAATTCGCCTTCCGCTCACGCATGACAACCACATGTGTCACGCATCGTCGACGCTACGTGCGGCAAGAACGTCCCACCCGCCGGCGACCCGTGGTTGCTCCGTTGCACATTGTTTGCATGGCACATGGGCCGCGTACCTCCTGCTCGCCATCGAGACGCGTTTAGCGAGGGATGCCACCAGCCCCGCACATGAAGATGACAAGGTGACTCAACTCGACGACTAACAAAATGGCGCAAACGCGGACTCTGGTCTCGTGCAAGATTGGTGAGTGGTTCGCTTTTATTCCTTATTGCTGCACCCACCTCAAGCTGGAATTCACTCCTTCGCCGGCAGTCGTCGTCACCAGCCCACGTGGAGTGACCACAAACCGCAGAGAGTCGACACACCTGCAGTGGCACCACAACCTCGGCCGTGATGAACGCAAACAAACCCCTATAGAAGCTGTTGGCCGCGACAGCGGTCGAGCTCCTACCCGTGTTCGCGTCAACGAGGTACGCAAGTGTGCTCAAATACACCGGGATGCTGAAGAACCCGCAGATGGAAAGCACAACGCAGATGGCCGCAACATGCACCCGCTCCTGCGCAATCCACACGTACGCAATCATTGCGGGTGGTAACCCGAGCAAACCGGGCTTGGTCGACGCGAGCCGCATCTCCGGAGCGGAACGCCCGCCGTTTAGCCCTTTCATGCGCATGAGCGGCGCTCCTCGGTCCAAGCCTTCACTGTCTGTGGAAGAAACATCATCGAGAAGTGTTTGATGAGGGACGCCACCAGCCAACAACACTCTGCCTGACACGCACGCACGCCGCCTTCAGCATCGTGCCGAATGTCCGCGCCACTCGACGACACTACATTTGACTCTTTTTGCCTACCTCGGGTCCAGGTGCTTGCATCTACACACGTGGCAAGGGTTCCCAACCTCAGTAATTCCCGCCAGTGCAACGCATATCTCACATTCATTTTAGTAGCAACATTGATCTTAGGGAATCGTACATACGAGATAAGGTACGTCTTGCTTCTTCGTACCCAAAAAGAGGTTATGTTGATCGCAGTGTCAATTTAAAGGGTACATCTATAACTATCTGTAAATGTTCAGGTTAATGACATGATTGCCATTATATCGAACGTGCAAACTTGCCTTAAATGAGCTGACGCTGGAACTCCTCCAGCTGGGTGACAGCTTTATTAACCAGACCTTCTTCGTATAGAAGCCCTTCTTCGTCGCTCAGACATTTGAGGGAACCAATGGTGAGACTTTTGCACCCTTCATGCATGCCTGGGACATGAAGAGACTCAATGTGTTGCAGGATACTGCGACCAGGCATGCGCATGTCATCGTGCAGAAGGAGGAACGCTATTCCCTGCATGCCTTCCTCCAGCTCTCCCCACCAAGCCTTCGTCCAACTTGAAGAACACTTGCGCTCGTCATGACAACGAAAAACGTGGTGGACCTCGGGAGGGAAAAGAGCGCATTGGATACGATGTAAGGCGATCCCATATTGGGTGGTAGAAACTGCCATTGACGCATTGTGGCCCATGTAGACGAAGTCGGAAGGCGTCAGCTCCAGGTAAGGCCCTCTAAGGATGCTTCTGAAGGCAGGCTCTACCCATCCATCAATTTTGTGGGCCCGGGCCAGGTGCATGCGTATGGTGGGCGTTAGGTCAGGGTGCGTGTCAAGTACCTTGATGGCTCTCTGACGTGCTCTAGGTGACTGATAATATCCCGCCAGGTCCAGGAGCATAATAAGGGAAGCAAATGACTCGTCGCTGTCACCAAGGCTGAGGTTCTTGTTTAGATGCGTCTCTGGATAGTCAGCGAAGCTCACCTAGATTCCTGCCCGGTTATAAACCTCAGAAATACTCCGAACGCCTCCGCAGTGTGGGGAACCTTCAACGGATGCTCCTCCTGTCGCCCGTTGTCCTCGTGCTGACCATGGGATGGAGTGCTGTAGCTGAGGTATGTGGGAAGGGGAACAGATGTTGCCGGACCTGCAGGGCAAAGGAGGTCGTTGAACAGGGCGCTCTGGGAACACAAAAGACCGGAGTAGAGCTTGTAAACATGATCCTCGGCCTGTCAAAGGTGTCAAGGTATGTCGGATGTCAGATCCAAAACAGGCATACTCTGACGAAGATATTGCCATCTTCAAACCAGATGTCCCCTCGCACAATATCGTGTTCCTGAATATCACTCTTCTTAGAGTAGAAGGAGGCAGGGAATGTTAGAGGCATATTGTTTGTCACAAAGGGGTAAAGGGAGAAGATTGCTGTGCGGCGTACGTTTCCTGGATTGAATGTCTTGTCCATGTCATTGACACGCCGTACCTGCCATGTCTAGGAAACTTCAGCGATCTATACCTGATTTGCCCAGACCTACAAATGGGGACTCTGACTGGACAGACAATGTTACCACTGCCTACGGGCTGCTCAAAAGCGCGTATCGTCATGCATATGATATCCTCCACCAGGAAGAGGGCGATCCAGTTCACCTTCATGTTCTATCCGATCAGATTGTTAATGAATCCCTACCGTTATTGGAGGCCATGCAGCAGGAAGGTTTACCGGGCGACTGGATTGAACGTTGTGCATGCGTACTCGGTCCTTTAGCGCTGGAGCTAAAGACAGGTGCGCTCGTTGCAGAGGGGGTGTGAGTATGCAGAAACTCTACCTTGTTGAATCAACTAATTCAGTTTTAGGGAGTGGAGTCATATAGAGTTCCTTGATGTTAGGGAAGGCGAGGACCAGGACCAGGTTGCCGTACTACCACGCACTAGGGGTCGACCAAAGAAGACCATCCATCCTGTCTTCCTTGGGGAAGCTCTCTCAGCCAGGCGGAACATTACGATCACCTCCCTTGCTCGTGCGCTGGGCATGCATAGGAACACATTACGGGCCAGGCTGAAGGAACACGGCCTCCATAGGAAGTTTCACAATCTGACGAATGACGAGCTTGATGTCTTAGTCAAGCACTACAAGAAAGTTAAGCCAAGTTCAGGCCTTCGATACATTACTGGATTTCTACGACATCATGGACTCAGGATTCAGAGGATCCGTGTGAAGCAGGCAGTACAGCGAGTGGATCCGGTTGGCCAGATGCTGAGACGACGAGATACGATCAGACGGAAGCCATATAAGGTCGCGCGATCTAACTCCCTATGGCACCTTGATGGACATCACAAATTGATCTGGTGGGGTATCGTTATACATGGTATGATAGACGGGTACTGCCGAACTGTAAGTAAAGCTTCTATTCATCGCACGAGGAAGGCACCTATTGATATCATCCTTTATCCTAGGTCACTGGGCTGAAGGCGAGCACAAACAACAAGGCGGCAACAGTTTTGGATGTTTTTTTGACAGCAATCCGGGCATGGGGTACTCCTTCTCGGATGCGCGGAGACAGAGGAGGAGAGAATCTGCTCGTCTCGATATGGATGATCATGCACCGTGGTCCAAACAGGGCATCGTTCATGTGGGGAACGTGCGTGGCCTTTTATTATTCAAACGTCATGCTCACAGTAAATTCCAGATCGTCCCGCAACACACGGATTGAACGTCTGTGGGTTGAGGTGGGATCACAGTTTGCAAGGAGGTGGCGAGCTTTCTTTACCCGTCTGGGACAACTTCACCGCCTGGACCGCACCAACCCTCATCATTTGTGGCTACTTCATCGGCTTTTCCTTGATGACATCAATGAGGACTGCCATGCCTTCCAGAGCGAGTGGAACAATAAGCCCATACGCAGAAAGACAACCAACAACCAGAGCCCTGTGGTGAGCTCCCTTTTTCACAGGTGTTAGAGAATCGCAAGCTTACACTTACGTGCTTAGGATATGCGCCTGCTTGGGCAGATATCACAGGGTGTATATCGCGATGATCCACTCGACCGCATCAATCCTGTGACGTTGCAAGAGTATTATGGAGGGGGTGATCATGAAGCTGATGAAGACGACGAGGAACTGACTGTTCCAGATCCCGAGCCTGAAGATCCTGCCCTTGCAGAGCTAGTGGACGAAATTGGTCGCCTCCAGGAGAAGAATTTACGGCACAAAGCTTTACGTGTTGCACGGCACTCCAATCCTTTCGAAGACAACGAGGAAGCAGAAGAAGCATTTTGGGAGGCGGCTGCCGAATTACAGCGGAGCAACATCATACCGCGCTTCTATGGTGTTCACGAAGACGAACAAGACTCTGCTACTTATCCTGATTTTGAGACTATCAGGTACGGTGCACAGGGCAAGCCCTTGAAGATTCAACTACCTATCGATATTTGGTTTCCGAGGGCAGTGGTATGGGCGCAGGGTGTATCAGTTCTTGACGAGTATCTCAGGTCAAGTAGGGCTTAACCCGCGGCGGTTTTAGGGTGGAAGCCATTGCGACGATCAGTGCTTCTACTGTCTTGCTACACTTGTTTGCGCTTTTCAAGAGAAAATAGATCATTGCGGTTGCTTGAGGTTGGCGCTTTATGTTTCACAAGCTGCTAATGGTGTACAGATGGCGACAAGTTGGTGACAGTAAGGTATCTGCCAGGTTATGAACCTTGGCACGTGGCCTGAGCAAACTTTATCGTATCACAGGTCTGGTCTCCACTCTTTCCGCGACGATGGCATCTTCTCGGGACCCAAACTTATGCTCTGTTATGCTAGACTCTGGACAATGTCCGTGCAGATGCTTTGAGCCACCCACAGATGCAGAAGTCGATCCCCGGATATGTCTTGATTGCGACCACAAGAAGGGTTGTCATCCTCGTCAAGCCCCTGCAGCTCCCGACCCACCGACGACAAAGTTTCAGGACATCATCAAGAAGTTCCAAGACCGCTCACGTATCAAGCTGGAGAAGAGAAAGAAGGCCCACGATAGCTCCGAAGAATCTTCAGGCCCTGACGGTGGCGACCTAGCCTGCGATGTTGCCCCCCCTCTCAAGGCTTCTGTGAAGATGGCGAAGCTAGAAAGTCTCACACAGATGGGGAAACATCGGCAGAAGAAGAGCAAGGTGAGTTGATGTTATACATTGTGTCTCGTCATCAACGTTGTGGATACTGCTGAGTATGTCATATTGCACCTCTAGGCCGCAAAACAGCCTGCCAGTGCAAAGGCTAGGATGAAGAACAGAACGATACTATCAATGGTGAGCTCAAGAAGCTGGTATAGCACTGATCATGATGACTTACATGGACTGCAGAAGGGAAAAGAAGTCGCAAAGGTATTTTCTCCTCTACTCTGCTATATGTGTCTGACTCGTCGACAGAAGGAAGCTTCCTCAGGGGAATCTACTACGGATGACGACCATTCAGAATCCAAGAGTGATAGTGATGTTTCTATCGTCTCCAACATGCGTGCTGAAGAAGAGGTGAACGGTGATAAGGTCTGTTCTGTCATTTTGTCTCTCACTGTTGAGGTGCTCAAATTGTGTTCTACACAGGGCTCCTATGGCAAGGGAAGAAGAATCCCAGTCATGCATGTAGCTCTGATCGTCTGTGGTATTGTGAGTCTAGAGACCAGTGCTCCATGCCGCACTGGGTCAGTGACCATCTTTCGCAGGATAGCAACGGGGAGCTTTTTATTGACAAAGCTCCCCGTGAAACTCATCTCAAGCGCATGGCGAGACAGGGTTTATATATCAGTCAGACACCAAAGGGTGGTGTACTGTGCTGGCCTTTATCCGCGAATGCCATTCAGCTCGACAAGATTGTCAGGGGGTGGTTTCCCAAGGTATTTGAGCTAATCGATAAGGGGAAGAAGGGAAAAAAAGTGGCGATGGATTGGGTTCTGCTTCGCAAGAAGTACTATACCTTGACGGTCGTGCCGGGTCCGGTGACTGGGGTCCAGATGCATGATGAACGGCGTCCCACTACGAAAGGTTATGCAAAACAAACTCTCTATCTTGGTCAGTTTCTTGACGGACTTTGTTACCGTAACTGATGACTCCTTGCAGCGACGGTAAAGAGGTTCACCTACCAGGAGCAGGCTCAACTGGAAGGTAAAGTGGTATCAGGCAACTCAGCTATCGATCATAGTTGCTCTGAGAATGAAGGTACCTCGGAGGGTGAAGGTACGTCTTGGTAACAGCTTAGGAAGGCTATGTGATGATGACATAGCATACACAGGCAAAGGCAAGAATCCTAACACTGAAGCTCCAGACAAAAAAGGTGTGTTGTCGCAGGTACATCTGACCTTCCTGTCACTCAAATTGTATACAGAGCCGATCATCGTTTCAGACGATGAACAGGACGATACATCGCCTTCACCTGGTGTACAACCTCCCTCCCCAGTTATACTATCACCTTCTCCAGTGGTTCGATCCCCTTCCCCATTCCCTCTCTTCATCAATTGGACACCACCGCCCGCCTCGCCACCCCCCTTGGAGCGTATTCCTGAGTTCATCCAGGGTAGTTCAAGCGATGTCTTACCTAGGTCTTCGTCTGCCCCTGATGAGCGGAAGGGATATCTCACTGGTGTCACGATCCCCAAGAATGTGCAGAAGAATCCTTGGCGTAAGAATTAGATACAGTGTAGATGGTAATTTACTTGTATCGTACAATAGAACTCCATAAACTGGCTGTGATCGTCTTGATTACCAATTTGTCTTTGCGGAATTACTTCGCAATTCCGGATAGCATGGTCACAAATACATGTTATTTTCCCTAAACATCGTTTCTGAAATTGCGATGCGAAGCTACAAAAGATCGAGAATCGCAATCCATTTCGAAATCGCCAATACAACATAAAACCTAGGTAATCACCTGAATTACTAGAAAATCACTGCCATTTCTAGTAATTGTATTATTGTGCACTTGGTGCACCATAATTCATACATAGCTACTAGTGACATTGCAGTGACACTCACGTGAATATGTGATACTCAATTCAGTCGATGCCCCGAGCGTGACCAAATCAGGGACATCTAACCACCTCGAACCCTTACAGCGAGGCGGGAGAGAAGCGCATTAAGAAAATTTTCTATACAATATCTGCGCAGAGTCTGCATCTATCTTTTGTATAGAAAATTTTTGGGAAAAGTAGTCGGACAAACGAGTAGTGAGCCAATGTAACGCTCCATCTCCGTTCCCCCGCCAAAAGTCTCCATAGCGTGACAGGTCTGAGCGCGTGATAGTGGCTATATATGAATGAGCCCTACCTTATCCATGCTCCGAGCAAGTCGGGTGAAACCCAGCATTAATTGCCACAGTCTCGTATACATGACCCTCCGGTCACTTCGCACATAGAGGCAAACTGTACGTACTGACTGCGACGTACCTCACGAACACCATTGGTCTAGCCTCTCTGGGATCCATTCCAATGATTAAGGCCCATTGCCTCCGGCCTTATCAGACGAATCCACTTGGGACACGTTGGCAACGGTAAGTAGTTTACCTCTCACGTCCTACACCTGACTGATGTCAGCACTGCGGCAACTGAAAGACGCGCTTGCAGGACGTACTGGGACTCGCCTAGAAGGAAGATGGTGATCGCAGTTGGCAAATGTGTTTCGTCGCTTGCAGCACCGGCATTACCATCGACGCCGATTGCCTAGCCGGAGCGACTCGTGTTTCTGGAGACAATCGCCCTTGACGGTTTAATCGCCGGGAATATGACCTCCAGTTCGCCATGTACTCATATGCAATTCACCAGCAATATAAGTATCGCTGACTTTGTGATGGGACTGAAACCCGTCCAGTCAGCCCCCCACCTCGCAAACTGTTGACATGTTGTCGTTCCTGCCCATCCTCAGCCTGTTCGGCATTTTTGGTCATGCGTCCGCGGCTGCGTTAGTCAAGCGTGCAGACTGTCCGGCTTGCCCTTCGTCATTCACCTCGGGAGATATCACCTACACTCTAGTTGGCCAATCGACCCAGCTTGGTTCTTTCCATGATGCTCATGTCATCTAACATTCCAACAGCTACGACGTCAATAACACCATCTGCTTCTACAATGTAAGACGCCATGGGGTTTGTAGATGAGAATATGTCGCTGACCTTGGAGACCCTGTCAGTTCCTTGGAGGCGGTCTCGTGTCCGGTAGCTCCTCCACGCTCTGCCCTTTACAATCTCCCGGATCCGTGACTTGTCCGCTTCCTTGAGAGTGGAGCGGACGATACCGTGACTTTTATACAACATCGTACATGTTGTAGCTTACGACCTTTTTTATCTATCGAAATGCACGGTACATATGAGGTGTAATGAACAAAGGTCGCTTTTGTGATGTACTCGGGCGTTGAATATCTAATAGACGCCAGGCACTAAACGATGAGGAACATCCTTCGCCCAAGCTTCCCATTGTTCTTTGAATGTACCGCGGAGCAGCTCGTCCTCCTTCCGCACCCTTCCAAATATCCCTATCACGTTGGCGGTGTAGAACATTGCCCACATACCCAAGACAAGCCTGGTGATGATCGGGTGTACTCGCAAAGAATACGGCAGCACGCACTCCGTCAACCAGCCTCCGCGAGCGACGAAGAGGACCAAGGTCACGCTGGTGTATCCCATGAGCGCGGCGGTGTAGGAAGGATGGCGCACGATGTTGTATGGCCCGGAAGTGATAAGCTCATGATCCTTGTGTATACCCAATTGAAACGTGAAGTGCCGTCCAAGCGCGCGGTAGCAATGCAGGCGCAGCGCCGCTCCTGCGACTAGGAGTACCCATGCAAGGAGATATAGTGGGCTAACGTGGATGGCAGATGGTGACATCGTCGAGGGCCAAAATAGGAGCTTGCGCGAGATCGCGCGGGTGAGCGCGGACTGGGGCAAAAGCGTGCAAAGGATCGCAGCAGTCTCGCATAAGGAGGGAGCCCAGGTGACTGTCTGTGCAAATTCGATGAGTCTTCGCGGAGTCGCAGCACGGAGATGCGAGGTACACACCAGGAAGATGATCATCCCGTTCCCAACCAAGTGGGCAAAGTACGATTCCGTTCCGCTGCGCTTCGTTCGTTCATTGGGTTGTGGAGCCGGGTTCGGAGGGAGGAGGTACCCTATCGGGATGCACAAGCACCAAGATAGAATCAACGGGATCTTTGCCAGAGACATCTTCCGAATCCGAATCCTTTGAGATCGAGCACTGATATGTAGCGAACTACGACGGAGGTGGTGAAGAGGACGGATACCTATGTCGGGAAAACCAGGGCACCGAAAAGGTGCGCTGGCCGTCTAACGATCAGGCTTATGTAGGCCAACTCGGGGCTGCGCTTGGGGGACGCAAGTCGGCTTGGGGTTTTCCAGTACCTCGCTTCCTCGGGGAAAGCAATGTAGCAGCATGTGAGAGCTCTTCCCACTCCGCCATGACATTGCGCCAATCGCCGCGCAGGATTCTGTTTGTATACCATATACCCGCGCAGCCAATTGACGAGTCCCATGACCAGAAATGTGCATCGGGAACGCGACGGGGAAGGCGGCCAGGGCCGGCCTCTATTTTGCCTAAAGACAAAAGCTCATCAATTGCCTTAGCCGAGGATCCATTCAAGATCCACGCTGACACGTACGATCAAGGCTGCGGGTTGAACTGGCTCTCCCTGATGGGCACAAATCCGTGTGTTCTCGGAGTCTATAGATATGTCGAAAGGGACCGGAAGTTGATGTTGGGACTGCCGTTCCCGTGAGCGTGAACGCTGTCAAGATGTTGTGTACAGCGGCAGCTGACTTCTGGTGAATTGTCGTGCTTGCCAAGCGCCGAGTCCGCTTGAGCACGAGAAGCACAAGACAAGTCTAAATCGGTCTAAATAGAATTGTTTATCGGACCCCGGATCAACTCGCATCTATCCGCCAATCCTGACTTCATGCCTTCATTCACGAGGAGTTCGCGATGCTGCATGAAAGCTTCCGCAGGAACAATCAAGCTTCAAGCCTCATTGTAGCCTCAGCAATGTGTCGAGGTCCGAGGAACGATAGTCTGAGGGACAGAAGTATGCTTAGCCCGAGTCGGATCCTCCTGGGACTCGGCAAGAAGCAAACAGGTGCCGTTCTGAAAACCAAAAACCAGACGCACGTAAGATATAGCGGAGATAGGGCGAAGGATGCAATCCCTAAGGCAGGCTTGTACACAGTCGAAAGCTAATCTACCTTCCTCGCCCATTTCTTACCAGACGGCTGTGGTGTCCCGGCCCTTCGGGTAGTGGTAGGTCCGGGCGCAGGTGCACCCCATTGTATTTGTCCAGTACCTTTCTGGCTGAGGATACTGCCCGACGCCTTCTCGTCCACAACGACGTCCGCGGGCACACGCACCTTCTCGTGCTTGGCCTGGACTGTCGGCGGTGCGCCACGATACATCCAGAGCTGCACACCTAGGATAAGGTTGAGCAGTAGCGCCACCGCGAAACCGGCGGTCATGATGGGGTCGCCAACCTCCGTGAATGTCGTGAAGAGACGCGCCACGCAGCCGACAACCTGAGATAGGATGGCGAACGACGAGAGCTGGCCCGTTGATTGCGTGCGCGCGTTTTCTCGTATCTGAGGAATCTTCGAGGCCACGGAAAGGGGCAGGGTGGCCACTTGGAGAACGGCAAGCTTGTCCGGAGGGAATATGCTGAGGAGGTAGCCAGTCCCGATGACGGCAGCAATGGCAGCGGCGATTTTCGTCGCCACGTCCTCTTCATTGCGGCCTCGGGTGAAAGCGATGATTAGGAAGGTGATAATCGTATTTTGCGCGGTGAGGAACACGTTCTCGCCATACGTCGAGAATGGGAAGTTATGGCGATATGAGTATGCCACTGTAATGGCGTATGATAAAGTTTCCAGGGAGTAGGAGGAAAGCGAGAGGCCTCGAGCGGACTGAGCTCGGAGCACTGCCAGAATTGGTCAACACGAGTGAGCGCGACTGGGTGTTGCCGCGACTCACCGATGATGAGTTGTGGAAGCTTCATAATAGCTCCGCCCGCGACAATCCCGACGCCTAAACCCTTCGACAAGGCATACTTCAGACACTCAACGTCCAAGTCGAGTTGCTCGACTAATGACGTGTAACACTTCTGTTCGGAGAGAAGAACGATCAATAAATCATATATCAATAGCAATTCGGTGTCTCACTTGCCCGAGGATAGATACTCCGAGGTCGCGAACGGGCCCAGGAAGGCCTCGAGTCAGAGTGCTCATCTTCGAGGTGAACGTCGAGAATGAACTCGGGGAGGTTGCTGTCCAGGCGAAATGATGCTGTGCATGACCCGAACTTAGGGTTCCACGCCCCATTGATCGAAACTTTCCTGAACTCATCCTCCTGCTCGTCCACTTCATCTCTTTCAAAATGGCCGAATGGGATCTGACGAAAACGATAGTACCGTACCTCGACCGGCATCTCGCATTTCCTCTCCTCGCACATCTCGCTGAGACCCAACTGTTCCCTGAAGAGCAAGTGCAGACCGCGCAGTATGAGCTTGCAAAAGGCACCAACATGGTGGACTACGCCGTCCAGCTCTTCGAGCAACTGAATCCGGGAAAGGAAGTGCCTGCAGGTGCGCTCTATCCGCACCATGCCTCATGCTGCTCCGGTCTGAGAATGACACCTTCAGAGTTCACCGAAAAGCGTGAAAACGCGGTTTCTACGAACGAGCGGTTGGCGACTGAGGCGCAGGCGGTTTTGGACGTGATTGAGAACCCGGACGTGGTGCAAGCACTCCGACAAGATAAGATGCAAAACTTGCAATATCTCAAAGACAACTACAACGTGCGTCTCGGTGCATCCCGTTATACCACCCACTTTTTTTCCGGGGAAAACCCATCGTTTGGCGCATTCCTATTTGGCACATACTGGGCCTTAGGAAACAGACACTGATCCACGGTTCTGATAATAGCTCACCCTGGAGCAAATCGCCGCCCTCTACCACTTTGGCCAGTTCCAGTTCACCTACGGAAACTACAGCGGTGCCGCCGACTACCTATACCATTTCCGAATCCTCTCGACCGACACCGACCTCAACACCTCCGCGCACTGGGGAAAACTTGCTTCTGACATCCTCTCCGGAAAATGGGACGTCGCGCTAGAAGAGCTTAACAACCTCCGCGATGCCGTCGATGCTCGTACTTCCTCCTCCTTGCTCCCCGCCGCCCTCGCTCAGCTGCACTCCCGCACCTGGTTGCTCCATTGGTCGCTCTTCGTATACTTTAACCACCCTCAAGGTCGCACACTGCTCCTCGAGACCTTCCTCAATCCCACCTACCTCAACACGATCCAAACTTCATGCCCCTGGATCTTGCGATATCTCACCACCGCCGCCGTTCTCGCCCGCAAGAGCGCCGGATCCGGGGCGTCGTCACGCGTGCGCAACGCGATCCGCGATATAGTGAAAGTGATCGTGACCGAAGAATATCAATATCACGACCCCATCACGGACTTCCTCAAGGAGCTATACGTTCAATTCGACTTCGAGGCAGCGCAGCAACAACTGAAGCTGGCGGAGACCGTTGTTGAGAACGACTTCTTCCTTGGGGAGTTCCGTGAAGACTTCTTGGAGAACGCGCGTTACCTCATCAGTGAGGCGTACTGCCGCATACACCAAAAGATCGATATAAGGTGAGTCCTCCTTTCAATTTACTCGATATCTCGCTGACACTACCAACCTCAGCGATCTATCTCAACGACTGAATCTTGCTCCAGAGGAGGGTGAGAAGTGGATCGTCAACCTCATCCGGGAGACTCGGATGGGTGCCGACGCGAAGATTGACCTCGAGAAGGTATCTCCATCCCATCCATTCACGCTTGGATCGAGTTCACAGGAAGCCTCAGAACGTCATTCACATCAACCGCACCGCGCTCCCGGTGTACCAGACCGTCATCGAGAAGACGCGCGGCCTTGCCTTCCGTGCTCAGGCGATGGGTGCTGCTCTGGCGCAGCCTGCGGTTGTCGACGGCGCACGATGAACGCGGCCTCTCTTCTAGCAGACTTCTATCCACACCCCGCGTTTTGGTATGCTGCACAACTTTGTATCCGTATCAAGACTGTTTTTCCATCATATTGTGTGATCGTGTCTGTTTATCGACGAGTATTAGCTCCCCGCAACGATGCGGTGAGGCGGATCCCAATCATCGCGGCGGGAACGCGTATACGGGCCAGCACCGACGGAGGACGGTAACTCATTGCTCTCTTTAACATACAAAGGATGGTAATTCATTGCTCTCTTGTAACATGATAATACGTTTCATATTTACACCGTACGAGCGCAGGTTGATTTACCATCCTCACTGAATGTTTAGCGTCACATTCTTGAGTTCCACCAGCGCGTTGGCGGCAGCCTGAAGCAAACCGACATATGATCAGCTCAAGACCGACCTGGTAGGATTACTCTCCTACCACAACAGCGACATGGAAAACCGAGAGCACGGCAGTGCCGTCAAACGACGCAGGGACCGTGAACGTGAAGTTCTGGTGCGGAGGTTTATGATCCGTGACGCTGTAAATACGTCAGTTCGTTTATTCACAGTGAAGAGAGGGGTCTACATACTTAGAGAACTGCGGGTTATATGGCCCTCCGTATAGGACGAGGCCCAGATCGTCGTCAATGTCAGTAGGGGAGCAGTCCGGGTTACAGGGTCGCAACCCTATGATTATGCCGACCTCCGAAGAGCCGGTGAGAGACTCCTAGCTCGCTTGTTAGGGGCGAGAGAACGAACATAACAGAGCGTCGCTCACAGGTCGATCAACCTCAACGGTCAGACTGCTTCCACGAGAAACAAAACTGCCGTTTGCCGGTGATCCAATGTCGATACTCTGCGCAAAAGCAACGGATGCGATCGCGGTGAGGATAATACCCGATTTGAGGTTCACCATCTTCCCTGAGCGCTCTTTCGCATGCTTACTCCTGCAGTTTTATAGGATGCCATGGCGCTGTCCCCTTGGAACTACGTGCCCTCGGTACAACCAAGGCAGAGATCATAGACCGGAATGGTCGGTGGAGCGCCTATGCAGTATACGTTACTATCAGGTGAGCAGTGGAATGGAGTCAAGCGCCGGTCTTCGGGGTGATGACCCGCATCTATCGGCCAATGCTGCTGAGAAGCATACAATGCCGAATTACTCAGTGTCACCGGTACCGCGCGACAATGGTCATCGAGTCGGGACCATAGTCCCGAGCCTTAGCGTCGTGATGCGAAGTCAGCGCAAGCACTCATGCCGGATCGGAGCCAGTCTACACCAGCAGCAACTTGGCCATTAATCGTATGCGCGCAGTACATAGTGTAAGCGCCGAGCTGCTACGGGGACCTGAGTATCGGCGTTCATTATTTTGCGGCTGCACTCGTGTTGCGCTTGAACCTCAGTACGGCGTCGCAGGGCTGACAGTGAAAGTGTGTCAGGTGTGGCGCGCAAACACAGTCTCGATGATCTTACATGACTTGATTATGATGAGTGTCCAGCGCACACGATCTTGCAGTTCTCGCCATTGGCATCGCACTCCAAGAGGCAGGCCTCGGGCGCGCGCTTGCTGCCGGCGCACACGAGCTCGTCGTTCACCCACACGCAACCGTTGGGGGCAGCGAGGGCGCCGATCGCGATGGACGCGAGAGAGATGGCAAGCGTGATGAAGGTGCGCATGCTGAGCCGAGGATACCGCGAAGACTGGGTGATATTGCAGAGTACTTTTCGCAGTTTTATACGTTTGGATGTTGTACAAAAGGGCCGCGTATGCCGGATTCATAGCCGAGAAGGATGACCGCCGCTGCGATCAAGACGCCCACGAGGTCCTTGTATCCAATGGAATGCATATCGGCGGTAAACGATGGCCGACCGAATGCCGAGCTTTGAATCAAGCTGGCTGTTGCCTATGTTCGATCCAGAAAACAGGTCATTGGATGCAGAAAACACACGATACGACGTGGAGTATGGCCTGTACAATGGAAACAAGTACGCCCTTCACAGCGAGAACTGGGTACCGACAGGTAGAAGATGCGTTGTGCCTCTATCATCGAGTGAGAACGGTTCTTGTGCATTGCATTCACATCACCACGGTGGAATGATCGTGCCTTGAAATGCTATCATGTAGGCTGTGCAGCGGGCGGAAGCAGAAGAAAATTCATCTGGGGTCGACAAATTGCATTTGATTAGAACCGGAACGCGTGGGTACGTGATTATGGTACGAATTATACAGAGTCCGGATACACAGGTCCATCAGGCCTTCAGGGTCCAAAAAACTTGTCCAACATGAAAGTATCGTAAGATCAAGCTGAGGTGATGTTAACCGTTATGTTCTTGGTTTCAAGTAAAGCGAATGGTCCAGCCTTGAGGCAATGAGGTCAGCGAGAACTGCAACGTGTAGTGTGTACACGAGGAGTGACGTACCCCTACTAGACTCAGATGAGTCACGCTGAGGACGGCAAGCCCAGATATTTCCGCTGGAGGAACGGTTACGGTGAAGTTTTGGTGTGGGGGCTTGAAACGGGTTGCAGGGTCATCAAGCTATGACGATGGAAGGAAAGACAGCAGGCGGTCAGAGGGTAATCTGTGAGACTGAGACATGTGCTTACCGTGAACACCGGGTTGTAGGGGCCGTTATACAATATGCTGCCGATATCTTCCTGTGCGGAGACGGCGTCGCAGGACGGTTGAGTCCCGCAAGACCTCAAACCGATGACAACTGCGACCTCCGTGGATCCGGTGAGGGTGTCCTAAGACAAGGTCAGCGACTGGCTACAACGCGATTGTGACCACGACGGGGTACTCACAGGTCGATCGACTTCCACAGTGAAGTTCTGCCCGGGGACGAGCGCGAGACCCGCGGTGGGATAACCGATGTCGATGCTCTGGGCGGCAATGCCGAGCGCGAGCGCAAGGGCCGTGACAACAGAGAGAGATTTGAACATAATTTTGGGCGACGAGTAGCAGGCAAGTCTGCGAATGCGGCGAGTGAGAGGGAGACTTTATATGTTTCTGGGACCACGGACCGATCGGCATTACGCCATTCATTTCAGGTTTGGGTCATGACCGAACTCGTGCGCGCATAGCGGACGTAAACTGCGCTCGGAGGCTGCGCCGAGTTGATGTCGGGGATGTATGAGCGAGAGGATCAGGTGAGAGCGGGAGACAGCCCGGGGCACCCGAGAACGTTCCTCGGGCTGAAGACCGCTGTGCGAACGGCGTCGATCGTGGCTGGCAGGGCCTCAGGAGCCCGGCAAGCGGACGGACCTGTGGAGCAACATGTCGTCCAGAACACGGCAGTGACGGGACGACGCGGACCACGCTGCTACTAGACCGGTGGTGCTGACTAAGCCGTGTATACACCCATAAGCCTCGTGCCACTGCTTATTAGCCTTTTACCCAGTGAATCGGCGGGTTCATCAGTCCATGACAAGCCAGTCAGAGAAAGCTGCTAGCTTCCATATTTCCCTGCGTTTCTCACCGCCGCTCGTTGTCCAAAGCATCCAACTGGCCAGTCTCAGGCAGCCTCGGCGGTGCTAGATGAATACGGGTTGGTCGTTAATACGCAGTGCGCGCACTGCTATCAACCGCTTTGACGATCTCTGGCTGTGGGGTTTGTTCCGCATTCTTCGGCATCGTACCTCAAACCTCGCGCCCGGTGGTGTGGAGCGACCGTGAACATCGATGAAAATACATCATAACCTTCTCGGCGCTAGAACCTTCCGACTCGTTCATTTTAACGACTCTATCTCGACCTCACATAGACCTATGGATGCTCGACAGTGTACGTCTGCTCCCATCGGGCATCGTTTTGCTGCTGGGGCGTGATGAGTGTTCATCGTACGGAGGTCGCTCGTCCACTGTTCTGCATGTCGCCCAGCAGTGGGTGTTGCTAAATCCGATGCATCTCCATTTGCGAGTGCGGAGAATGTTCATATCCGATAGTCGTTCCATACATCACCTGGAGGGCCAGCGCCGACTGACCATTACGGTTCTAGTGCGGTGCGTGCAGACAATTGCAGCCAAAGATTTCTGTAGCCACTTTAACCGTTCTCACCTCCAATGAACTCAGAACCTTGTCAGTGGCTTCGGCAAGCGCAAGAGGGTACATGTCAACTCAATCGAGCTTATCGAGCTATTTTGAAGCCTGAAGACTTCCGCTCGCAGTCGCGCCCATCCTGCCCACCCCGTTGAACACGATCAAGACTATGGGTACGCTCACTGCTTGCTAAGGTACTGAAAGAAACGATCAGCTTAGATCTCAATAGTATTGCTAACGCTGAAGAAGATGTCGAGCAAGGGCAGCAATATGGCTGACTCCCCTGGCCTGGATCATGGTGGGTCCAACGACACGGTGGAAGTAGTGGTTTATCATACAAAATATAAAGAAAAGCCATCAACGACGGGGTTATCAACACGAATCGATGCAAGGCTGCTACCCGTCCTGGCCGTCTTATATCTGATGGCTTTCCTCGACCGGTAAGTGTCCCTGTTGGGGGCCCAGCTGTATAAGTATGGCTGCTTATCGATCGCGTACCGCCCTTTCAGCATCAACATTTCCAATGCTGTTCGGTTCGGGCTCGAAGACGATCTTGGAATCACCATCTTGCAGTTCAACCATGCTGGTTGTACATCCTCAGAGCGCGCACCGCTTCCGCATCTTTGGGGGACGACTCATCAGATCCGACCAGCATCAACACCACCCCAGACGGCGTTCCTTCAACGCTCGCGTTATCCATCTCGAGCAAGGACATCTGGTAGACGCTTTCTGACCGCCTTGAGCTCCTCACTCTCGTCAACCCACGAATGACGCTATTAACGAGGGGTTACTCGGGGCTACTCACCACGTGATTCTTTCTTGGATTATTCGAGGCAAGCACTACGTCAGTCAGGAGTGGGCCTATTCACTAAGGACGAGCAACAGGCTGGATTGCTCCCTGGCTGCCTGTACCTGATCTCAATGTGGTATCGACGAGAGGAGGCTCAGGTATTTAATTCGTGCTAAGCTAATATGGCAGAATTTTGGTAATCTTCGTAGACACGTATAGCTTTTTTCTTTTGCTCCACGGCTCTCGCTGGAGCATTTGGAGGGCTTCTCGCGACCGCGATAGGGAATATGGACTGAACACGCCAGCTCAGGGCGTGGAGATGGGTTTTCATTCTTGGTATGCATGATTGGTATCCCATCACGGTGTCGTTCTAACTTATAACCAGTTCGTCTTCCAGAGGGTCTCCTTACCTGTCTAATCGCTGTCTTTCTCTTCTTTCTCATACCGGACTTCCCCCGAAGAAGCGCGGTTTCTCAGCCCACAGGAACGGCTTTTCGTGAGTATTAGTAGACTGTTTGGTTACCACAAATATGCTTCAAATGCGAAGTTCCATAGCTGCGCTTGCTCGAGGACGTCGGCGACTCGGCTATCGATACCAAAATGACATTTCGTCGAGTTATCACGGATCTCAAGGATTGTACGTGACCAGTATGTTGGCAGTGCCGCTCACCTGACGTCCTGATAGATCGCATATTCATGGGCGGCTTGATGTACTCTGGGCTTGTGGTTCCCGCATATGGTTACGCGTACTTCTCTCCGACCATCATCAAGGTAGTGCACCCTCCCATTCCGACGTTTCGTTATCTAAACCCAATATCCTGAAATAATCTAGGCTATACCTTTACCCAAGCTCAGCTTCGCTCTGTACCTCCCTATGTTGTCCAGTTACGCTCTTCCATGCTAGTCGCTGTCGCAAGCGACAAGCTCAGGCGCCGTTGGATATTCACCATCGGGTCGCATGGCTCTTCGTTATGCAACGTACCGAACGTTGACCATAGGATGATAGGCACGTCCCTCATCGCCGTGAGCGCGATCGCAATGTTATTGTCCATTCACACCAACGTACACGCTCAATATGCGGCATTATTCTTGGCCGTTACCGGTGCAGCCCGTTCTCTATCATGTGATGTTCATGCTAATGTGATGGATATACCATAAGGGGTTTACATTACCATGCCTGTCGTCCTCTGCTGGTTCACTAGCAACCTTGGTGGGCACCGTCGTCGTTCAGTAGGCACCGCCTGGCAGGTGCGTGAAGAATTCTCCTCGGATACGCGAGAAATATAGTACCAATGTTGGCAACATCGGCGGGATTGTCACGTCATATTCATTTCCGGCCGCGGATGCACCTCGATACACCAAAGTTTACAGTATCGGGATAACATTTGTGTGTCTCTCAATGATGTCCTGCGCGATTTATGCTGCCGGGATCATGCGAGAAAATAGGCGACGAGCTGCTATGCAAGGTTCCGTCGGCGATCCGTCTTCACAGGCTGACGATAAACTAGGCGACCTTGAACCTAGCTATATTTACATTGTATAGCAAGGACGTAGTAATGATAAATCAGCAGGCAAAAGCCATACTACCAACCGGGCGGGAGTATGCTTTGTGCCTGGGTTGCGTGCGCTAGGATATACACAGAGCATCTCGATCCAATCAGTCATCCATGTTCACAATGTAGCATTCAATGGAGCGTCCTAAGGATTGCTGCAGATTTTCAGCGGGCAAGTGGAAGCTTGTAAGAGAATTGTGGCATATGCACCAGATATGAGCCCTTTTGGTTCATCATGGAAAATGATACGCCTGCAGTCATATATACTGATAATAGGTCCCTAGAATACGCCCGGCACAAGTCTGTACTTGACCCTGCCGCTCCATTCATCCCATTGCTTTCCGAAGTTTTCCCTCATCATCGCATCTTCCTGTATAGCTCTTTTCACGAAGACCTGTATCATCCATGACCAATAGGCGATCCACAACCCGACTAAAACCCAAACTACCATCGTGACGGGAGACTCGGAGACGTCGCATTGACGTAGCCACGATCCGGGAGAGAGCATGCAAGTTAGGGCTCCGGCGATGTTGACGTACATTCCGGTGTAACTGGGATGCCGGACGACAGAGTATGGTCCCCAGGTGACGAGCTGGTGTTTCTCGGTGATACTTAGCTCGTACGTGAACATGCGTCCGAGGGCGCGGAATGTGTGCACGCGAAATTCGCAGCCGCAGATGGCGATGATCCAGCCGAGGAGGACTGTGGGACCGATGTAGATTGCAGGGCGCGAGGAGGTGGAGCAGGTCATGACGCTGGTTTTCAACGTGGTATGGGACGTGTTGTGGCTCGACGCCCACATGAGCATCGATTGTATGGCACAAACGATAGCAATCGTAACCTGATAGGCACAGTCAGTCTTGCACGAGGGTAACGTAGTGCGATACTCGCCCAAGAGAACCTGATAACGGATCGGATGAAAGTGGGACTCGACAACCACATCGAGACGTCTTGTTTCCGCGAGTGCTTTGGGGCCGCTGGATTGGGAGGGATCATGCAGCGTGCATGGGTGTACGGCACCGTCAAAATCAGTGCCGAAGCAACGACGGGGGATGTCAGCCAGGACATGGCGGCGACGACGAAGAGGGAGAATAGGTCCTTGAGAAAGAAGAGATCTGTTACTTATGTGTTTTGTCAGGATGCTCCGCCGAAATACCGTGCGTGGTCGTCATTCGGGGCGACCTTGGCCGGTTGAGTCTGAAAGCGGAGATCGTGTGTTGAGAGAGCGGCCGTGAAGCGTCCCGATGGAAGACACTTCATCTTGAAAGAGTAATCGGGTACGAGGCAGCTGAGAATCGGCACCCGACGTGTTCGCACGTCAGGCGTCGCTATCGCTTCGCCGATCCGGGACCTGAACAAGGTGGTTGATCGTTGTACTTACCTTGACCCATCCCAGTAAGATTCAAGGATACGCCAATCGTCGAGCACTTCGACGATGGACTACAGCAATGAGGCTTGTCCAAGACCCAAGACCGAACACAGGAACTGCAGGCTCCTCCATCGTTCACTCAAGCCAATAACCCGGTCCGACGCCTGAAATTTCCCAGAGCTCCCAGAAGTCACAGCTCCGAGTCTCCGACCACTCGCTGGCTTCGCTGTCAGAGACAAACATGACAAACACGGTTACCAGCACCGATATGCTCCGCAAACGCGCAAACAAGCGAGCGCAAGGCATCAGGAAGCGGCCTCAAGGGGAAGCGTTCGCTCAACCGGCGTGCATGGGACGGTCGCAGCACAGCAAATGTCGCTATTGCTATGATGCACAGGCGTAACCGAGCGTTCATGGCATGCTGCGCAAGGATGCCAACGGAAGGTGAAGGGAAGGTAGGCGGAGAGTACGCAAGTTTCAATGCTTCAGGGGCGTCCTTCGGTCGGTGGACGAGAGACTCCGATGGACAGCGGGTGCGAAGGGGCGAGATGGGTTCAACGAATAATCGGAGCGAGTCAGCGGTTCCAGTTTCGCTCCCACGTTTGCACTGGCCAAACAACGGCCGACGCAGTTCCTTACGTAAGCCGCCAAGGATGCTTCCCAAGACACTGAGACCGATATACTCCCGGAGATCGTCGAATACGATTACTGTGGTAGTGTACAAAATGCATCGTTACAACCGAGAAGGTCAGAGTATCAGATGAAACTACCGCAGATAGCGGTAGTCGGGATTGAGGTCTCCCAAAGCCTCCTTGTCCGCTTCCGACATCTCTTTTTCGTCTTCGATGCGAGAGGCGCCACTGCTACCCCATATCAAGGGTCGCCCTTGCGCTCGTCTCCTGTTTTCCCAGGAGATGCCGAGGACGTAGAGCGTGGAGGAGAGGATGGAGAGGCAGATGAACGCAACGCAGACGGAGTAGCCCTTCTTATAGTGCGTCTTTGCGTCGGCGGCGGGGAAGAGGTAGGCGGCGATGATGCCGCCAATGTTACCGAACCCGACCTGCCAGGCCGAGCCTACCGATCGTCGATGATGACCTGCTAAATTCGTGTTGAACCAGCAGACGAGCAGCGGCATAGAGGTGTAGGTGCCTGACAGAGCTATATGAGCACGCGCCAATTCCATGACCTAGACGTATACGCACCCATTGTGATCAAGAACATCGCCGCATACTGGACATGAACATTATCATGCACCGCAAGTAAGATCGCGAAGCCGGCGAGGGCCACGAGCGCGGTCCCGACGCTGAACAGCCACCGATGCGCCAAATGGTCGCTGGCGAACGCGACGATCATCGCGAAGAAAAAGGCAACCGCCCACGGAGGGACGCTATGCAGCTGTGCCTGAGTGGAGGTATAGCCGAGTTGCTAGAGAGCGCTCGATTAGTCCTTCCTGGTTTGCGTGAGCGCTACATGCAGGGCGTACCTTGATGATGGTGGGCGCAAAATAGGCGTTTCCGTACGCAGGGACGATGAGTCCGAAGTACATGAAGCCTCCAAGGAATATTTTGTCTGAAATGTGGCGGTTAGCAGAGGTAAAGCCACAAGTCACGAATCCGACTCACAATCCTTGAAGACGTTGAGGACTTGTTTCATGCCGAGCCTCTCATGCCTGGCAGACGATCCGACGTCGGCCTTCAGGCGCGCTTTCACGAACTGACGCTCGGCTTCCGTCAGGAAGGCCGCTTCCTCAGGGAAATCGGGGACCAGGAAGAAGAACGTCAGCGCGATGAGGCAGGTTGCAACACCCTCTGTTGCTGCGTCAGTATAGTCTGGGATCGGGATCCGAGAAGGGACACGGACCAAGAATGAATACCCAGCGCCAACCTCGGTAGCCGCGGTCGCCATCCATCTTGCCAATAGCAGAGGCGAGCAAGCCGCTGTGCGATATTGTGAGTGTCGAAAAAGGATAAATGCGATATCAATCTCACGAACCCGAATGCCCCGGCAAGAGTTGTACTACAGAAGAAGAACGAGTAGCGTTTTTGGGACTCAGATCGGCGATACCACATGGCGAGCAGGTAAAAGCACCCTGGGAACATGGCGGCCTATAGGATACTGCGTCGGCCATCCACCGGGAGTGAAGCCGAGTGAGGAACGTACCTCGAAGAAACCGAGGAAGAAACGCGTCACGAGCAAGGATCCGTAGCTGAATGTAAGGCCTTGAAGTGTCGTGACCAGTCCAAACATGAACATGCAAGTGGGCAGCGTTATCTGTCATAGAAGAAGCGTCTAAAAACCCGGGAACATGGCTGTGAATGGCAGGGATCGCACATGCGGTCGGAACTTTTTCATGAGGACGTTCGCCGGCACCTCTGCCAGGATGTACGGTACGAAGAAGATGACCAAGCAGTTGTTGTACTGCAGGGACGTGAGGTTCAGATCCGTTTGTAGACCGAACAACGCCGCGTTCGAAATGTTCACGCTGGAGAGCGGACGTCAGCCTGAGGTTCAGGGCGAGGAACGGGTTACGCACCGGTCTAGAAAGGCGAGCAGGTACAGAACACAGAGCACCGGGAGGAGATGCCAATCGATTTTTCGTATCACCTTCTTCTCGTCGACTGGGGCCAAGCGTCAGAAACGGGCGCGTTGAGGGGGCGTCGGGTGTACGCACCAGTCTCTCCGTCATAAATCTCGGATCCGTCATTGCTAGACGCGAGCTGGGCGATACTCCGGTCGGAGCCCTTTTCGTGGTCGGAGAGCGAGGGCGAGCCTGCGATAGTATAATGAACGGGGAGTAGCCATGCGAATGGGGTCAGCATTCACTCACCTCGGGGTGGTGCAGCGGACATGGTGGTGGTCGTGCAGGGACAGGGATGGTTGGGGGGAAGAGTCGTAGTCGACGTCTTCTCGAAGGAGGAGGGCGCGCGATGCGGTTCGGAGAGCGTCAAGGTGCATGGTGCCGCGTTGACGGTATATATTCCGGACGGGGACGGACCTGGCAGATGACTCCAATGCCCTGCGTATCATTTATTTCCTTCGGCCGATCGCACCGGCCCCGGCTCGTCGGCGTCGCCGTCCGACGTACTCGTTACGACGGTGGATTCGTGCTCCTCCTCCCATTTTCCTGCACCATCCCACATCGGTGTTGGCCTTCAGACCCGCCCTTTCAACGCGGTATCGCCCACCCGTTTTGCAGATGTAGTCGGTCGAACGCCTCTTGCCAGCGTACCGGGCATAGCAGCAAACTTTGCAAGTGGGTCTCCGCATCAGCGACTGATATATGATTCGCGGCGATTCGGCGATGGTTCAGAACGTTCGAATACTACCGTCCGACCCACCATGCATCGATCTGCTGCTCCCTCGTCGCCCCGTTCAACCTTCAAACCTCCCCTTCGCTGCGATTATCACGATCGCCTTCAAGATAGATCCCCTCCATTCGTGCTCCAGATGTTCTGCCTTCAGAGCTTGACGAGAAGGAGGGAGCGCGCGAGACGACATACATGAGCTAGTCCAGTTGCTCGATAACATGTGAACCATACACATAACATCCCACATCCGGTCGGTCAATTTCCCTCGTTCGGCCAGGCCGTTATCCAGCGTGCTCATGGCCCACCAGAACCATGTACTGTTTGCGCGTTCGTTCATGACCACCCTCGCTGAGATGTCACAAGTCTGTCTTCGCCGTCATGCCGCTTACTGCGGTCATCTTTTGCGAGCCGGCCGGGGGCCCTCGTGAAGCGCTGTACGCCCCCATGACGTCCCTTCGAAGGATCTAACGTTCGCGTTGAGCCACCGCTTCCTCCCATGGTTCCCCAACAGCCAATGGACGGTCTCGGAGCGCTACGTTGCTCGTGAGCGTTTCCCCACCCCATACGTACATAGGTATTCGGCATCGGTGCCGCGAGCGATCACGGGTATGTCAGTCTCGGTTCTCCTTGGCGTGCCCCCACGTATGAATACCATACGGCTCGGGTCAGGTTTGAGCAGTCGCGACTCTGCTCGACTCTCTCCCCATTCATAAGACACACCCGCGATGTCTTCCTCGAACACAGGACCAGAACCTCTCCTGCAAGGTGGCATACCAGTGCAATCCATCGTCACCGGCTCCCTACAAGAGCCCACGGTGCACCAACTGTTCTCCCTTTCAGGGAGAACAGCTGTTGGTAGGTACCACTCCATTCGCGTGCCATGCCGCTCTCCTGATCCACGATTCCCGCTCGCAGTGACCGGCGGTGCTCGCGGCCTTGGAATGACTCTGGCGACGGCACTGCTCGAGGCTGGAGCTCATGTATACCTTCTCGACGTGCTCCCAGCGCCGTCCGAACCTGAATACAAGGCCCTCTCTGCCAAAGCTCAAGAAGCCGGTCTGAGCGTAGGGTATTATAAGGTATGTCCATCTACACCATTACCGCCCACCGAGTTATCTCTCACTACGGAATCGGTACAGGTCGACGTCACCAAAATCGAACAAGTCGATGACGTGATTCAGACCATCGCGAAAGAGGCCCCTGCCAAGATTCGACCCGTTATCGCTGCGGCAGGCAGTGAGTCTCCTTCCTGACATCATTCTATACGACTTCGCTGACTGCGCGCTGCGACAAGTTCTACAGGAATGCGAAGCGATCGACTACAAGCAGGAGGATTTCCGTCGAATCATGGATGTCAACGTCCTCGGCGTGTTCAATACTGCTCAAGCGGCGGCCAAGATTATGTTGGCGCACGGGGAAGGAGGGAGTATCACAGCTATTGCGAGCATGAGTGGAACCATAGCGAACCGGGTAGATCGTTTCCGGCCTACGATCTCGCACACGCTCATTCTGTTCCCCATCAGGACCTCCCGGCCGTGGCTTAGTACGCGACAATAGAGAATGTTCGGTGCATGTTCTGACCGTTTCGCAGCAATTCGTCCAAAAGCGCAGTGTTGCAACTGTGTCGATCGCTCTCAGCCGAATGGGCCCCTAAGGGCATACGAGTAAACTCGCTCAGTCCCGGGTATATCATGACTGCGATGTATGTATCCCGCAGAGCTGAACGCTTCATACAGCTGATGAGGATGATCATCAGGACAGCCGCTCTTCTCGAGGTGAAACCCCAGCAAAAGGTGCAATGGGAGGACGGAAGTCCTCAGCACAGAATATCAGAGCCCTGGGAGTACAAGGGTCCGGCCGTGTTCCTGGCATCCGATGCCAGTTCGTTTTTCACGGGCATGGACCTTCGGGCGGAGTGAGCGTCGTTTTCTCGAGTTCGTTTCAGGCCTTTGCTCATTGAATGCGCCAGTGGCGGGTATTGTTCGTGGTGAATACCGACAAACACTACCAAGAGAATCAAGGGAGAGAACAACGACCATCAGCCTAGTTTTGTGGGCCGCTGTTCACGAGATGGTGGTGGGTTTCACTCGCTTTACTGGCCAGTAAACAGAATGGCGTCGCTATTCAGTACTTATATCTGACAATCAAGACATGTCGCGATCATAGCTCCTCTTGTCAGTATCAACAATCAGGCATCGCTGTCCAGCTTGCGGGGTAGTGTGGGACGCGGTGTTCTCACATCACCCATCGAATCGAGACGAACGGGATGCAAGAAGATTTCGGACGTGCTTTGCCGTGCCTGATCATGCTACTCGTGTACACGCAGATGCATTTAGCCAGAACCCGCTCCTTACGGTTCACTCCCTCTCGCATCTCCTGTCACAAAGTAGCTCAGCGGGATTCGACCACTGCGGTTCTATTGCGGGACATTCTCAATCCCGCTGGGAACCATTGGAAACATGCGTCCCATGACTCCTGCTTCGCGGAACGTAAGGATTGCGGCATGTCCTAGTTGGATCCCATGATCCATGTCTGGCCAATGGAGGACGCTAGGGTATGCTATACCTCCATACATAGCTCCGTAGTTGGTGCCCCGCGTATCTCAGCTCACAGGTGCGTGGATTCCTAGCCAGTTCGGCGTATTCTTCTGCCATACATCGCATCCTTATGAACATAGAGATTATGTGCTTGCAGATACTATCAAACGTCACTCCCCATGTCCACATCGACCAACAAAGCGAGTCCTGAACCTCAGGTACTGGGCAGCATCCCAGTACAGTCCATTGTTGCTGGGTCCCTGCAAGAGCCGACTGTGCAGCAGCTATTCTCGCTCAAAGGCCGGACAGCAGTCGGTACGTACAGACGATTTCAGTCCTGGTATCATGAAGCAGTTCGCGAAGAACTCAAAACATAACTACGCAGTGACCGGCGGCGCTCGTGGCCTTGGAATGACCCTAGCGTCAGCATTGCTGGAAGCTGGCGCACACGTTTATCTCATCGACGTGCTCCCGGTACCGACGGAAGTGGAGTACGAGGCATTGTCGATCACAGCGCAAGAAGGCGGCTTGAGTTTGGCTTATCACAGGGCGAGCCTGCTTCGTGCTGATAACCCGGCGACGTAATGTTCACTGACTGACCTGCAGGTCGACGTCACCAAGATTGAAGAAGTTCATACTGCTTTCCAAACCATCGCCGCAGAAGCTCCCGCCCCTATCCGCTCAGTGATCGCTGCGGCAGGCAGTGAGTTGACGTTCGCGTCGTATACTGTGATGAAGGACGATTCCGCGCGTAGTCCAACAAGAATGTGAAGCGATCGATTATAAACAGGACGACTTCCGACGAATTATGGATGTGAACGTGCTCGGCGTCTTCAACACCGCACAAGCGGCTGCGAGGGTTATGTTCGCGCACGGAGAAGGAGGCAGTATCACAGCCATTGGCAGTATGAGCGGTACCGTGGCCAATCGGGTAGGTCCATGACCGAGGTTTATGGAAGACTTTCTAAACCTTTTCCTGTCAGGATCTCATTTGTGCCGCATAGTGCGTAAACGGCACCTGAAAAGAAACCAGCCCGTTAAACATAATCTCAGCAACACGTCCAAAGCTGCTGTACTACAGCTTTGTCGGTCGCTCTCGGCTGAATGGGCCTCCAAAGGTATACGGGTAAACTCACTTAGTCCGGGATACATCATGACTGCGATGTGGGTATATCACAATCCATTCATGGCGAGATATCGATCAATGCAAAATCTCAGGACTGCTGCGTTACTCGACGCTAAGCCGCAACACCGAGCACGATGGGAAGATGGCAATCCCCTTCACAGAATCTCAGAGCCATGGGAATACAAGGGACCAGCGCTGTTTCTGGCCTCGGATGCGAGCTCATTCTGTACGGGCATGGATCTTCGGGTAGAGTGGGTCGCCCTGTTCGAGAGGCGAAATTGTATTGACACTCATTCTATGTCAGCGGCGGGCATTGCTCGTGGTAATATCGAATGCAACGCGGCATTTTGGCTGCTGGACACATCATGTATATTTGCGTTCCACGTGCGATCTCGTGTGTCATAGCCACTGTAGCACAGTGAATGCGACAGTCGAAATGAGCTCGAGAGGATGTCAAGAAGACCATGGGAAAACCTGAAGGACAGAGTATTCGGGATGTCGAGCGGGAGCGGCTTCACATAGCCCTCCGCAAAGTTAGATACAACTCACCAGAGTGTTGAGGTAGCTTATTTTTTGAAGGAATAGCGATGTGGTAGCGTGTGGCGAACGGTGTGTCGAAGAAGACTGAAGTTCTCTTAGATGTCGTGAACAATAAGATATTGATTCAAGACCGTAGATGCAACTTTTATATGCGTTAAAAGGTACTCTACTGACCGGAGGGCCGTAGCTACGTACGCAGTCCAGTCACAATGAAACTTCGAGGGGAGGATGGGATAGGAAAAGTTATTCTGAAAACGTAGAGAGCGCCCTAGACAGGTTTTGGAGCGCTGGAGACCTGGGCAGGAACAGGAGAAGGCGTTCAGAACACACTGGGCCGCGTCAGAGCGAGGGAAATGAGCGGCGGCACCGGATTTTTTTAAATGAGAAGAGTAGTTGATGCAGGAAAAGACCAAATGTCGGGCCTTGGGGGTACGTCGAGGCAGATTCAATAGCTACGCGATCCAGGGCGCAGTCGAGTACAGTCAGCTAGATATTTTTGAATGCGGAGGGCGCGCGAAGGAGACACCTAGAACTAGATGGATGAGGTGTCGAGAGGTGATGCCAAAAGAGGAAGGTTCCCCACCCGATTAGGCAGGTGGCGGGGCTTCGCTCGCGTGGTTGCGTCGGGCAGGGGACATCGCTCTCGAGACTCGCTCGCTCGCTCTCGTATTTCGCAAGACGATCTGTGATTTTCATGGGATTGCTACCGTACAATATCGCGCCGCGATATTGTATATACATGGTCCTTCCCGGAGCACGAAGAGAACAGGGGAGAAGGTATGGAGACAACCAGTGCACTATTTTTACCATTTCATGCGCCTCCCATTCCGGCCGCGTCTTTCGAATTCACAGCCCGCTGTCCTGCCTCTACGACGTGCCATTCCTTGAGACGTTTCTCCGCTGGAGGAATGGTGACAAACAGGCAAGGTGCAACATAGTAAAACTCGGTTGATGCCTGTCCAGATATGTGAGCAAACCATACATTCTCCGAAGCTATTCGCCACTTCACCTCGTTTCCATACGCAGTGTAGTCCCCGGCTCGAGACGATTGTCCAGGATACGTTACCCACATGACATCTCGGCGGACTTTGGCACCGGAAGTGGAAAGCTCCTCCGTCAGCGAACCCTCCACGTAGGCCCCGTCGAGCTGACCGGGCTCCTGTGACGTGAACTCATCCAGCTTGAAAGGGTGATCGATCACGGGCTCGACAATGATTTTTCGCAGAGTCTTTGAGTCATATTCCAACATGTCGTTGTACCAGCTTTCGAATTCCTCATCGTTGTCGTACCGAAACCGCCATGCGAACTTGATACCAGCATGTTCGAATATGTCAACCAATATGGCGTCTGTTCCCTTGAGTTGCCTGCTCGTCTTGCTCCACTCTTGACCCTCGATAGGGTAAGAATGAGAGAAGCCGAAGCCCAAGATCGCCCCCTCGGGGACGAAGCTCATGTCGTCGAACATAGCCAAGATCGCTTGCCGGATGTACTCTTTGGAAGCGTCGCGAGTGCGGGCGGCGGCAGAGTTGAGCACGTCGTAAGAGATTTGTGTGCCGCTGTCGGGGATCGTGAAGACGTCCCACGCCGCCGTCACTCTCATTCCCGACGTGACAGGCAGTACCTCGTGCTCGACGTCGGCGTACAGGAAGGCCCAAGGCAGCTGAGGGTTCCCCGAAGCACCCCACACGTCCGTAGACCAGTCATAGACGATTTCTCTGTCGCCCTTTCGAACGACGAGGTCCCCGCCCGTAAAAGACGACGGGAGACATAGAGTGATCGTGCCCAAGTGATTCTCTCCACGAGCGGTGCTGTACTCGCAACGCATGAGTTAAACCCCTCCGAGATGAAGCCCTGGTGGATGGAACGTACTCCTGGTGAGCCTTGAAAAAGCCTCCTTGGGGATATATATTA